ATCATCCGATATCAATCCCTTTATATCCCCAAAATCCACTTTACCCACACCAATTAATCGGATTAATCTCTTTAATCCTAGAAAAATTTTAGTTTAAAATTTCGGTTCGTTTTCGGTTAACCGAAATCTGTTCGGTTTTGTTTATCAAAGAATCAGGTGAAACCGAAAACCTAGAATAAATAAAATAATTCAATGAATTTCTTTTATTATTTTTTCAAATATAGGGAAAAATATTTTAGGGGGGAGTACTATTTTAGGGGGAGTACTAATTCAGGGGGGAGTACTATTTTTCAACCATCCTCCAAAGGGGATACTATTTAAGGAGGGAGTGCTAATTCAGGGTGGAGTACTATTTTAGGAAATACGGTATTTTTTATTTTGTTGTTTTTTAATTTAAAATTTTTATTAAATATATGGTTTGTTTTTCGTAGCTTCTTTGCGATTAGAGAGACCGACTGTAATATCTAAAGATTAATTTGGTAGCTACTACTGCTTGCGTCCTCACTTGCAAAAAATATGACTGAATTAAAAAATCCATCAACCAATTAGTAGCTGGCAGTCTGTTCTGCTTTGAAGTTTATCTTTAATATTTTGATATTTTTTTGTGGTTGAGAATTTTTTAAATTTTTACAATTTTTTTATCATTATTGTTAAATTACGCTCCAATTCGATAAATTTCTTCACAGCATAACCTAATACATAAGTAGTTACTATAAATTTAAACTCCATATACTTTCTGTTTTATATTTTGATTTTTCTTTCAATCTTTTAAAATCATTTCTTTTCATTTCCAAAAGCCTGCTTTTCTTAAATACCGAACTTGAATACCGATTATTATTTTTTAAATCTACTCTATATCGTTATTTTAATTTCAGACACGCTATTTTATGATTTCTAGCCATTTTTCTGAATCATGTTCTTCTGAATACCTTTTGTTATTAAGCGACTTCTGTAGCTTTAGACCAGACTGTCTATGAGAATCGAATGGATATCTTGAAAAATCTCTATCACGACACCTAGATGTGTTTCGAGATCTCGTCTGATCTTTGTCTTGAATTTTATTCCAACGAAAATCACATATTAAGTTAATACAACGATATAACTTTTATCCACTGAATTACCACGATTCCACTCAAATCTTGATGTTCCTTAGATCGCCTGATATCATATGTTATCATGATTAATCTACTCGAATCCCCCTTAATAATATTAACATTGATTTTCCACCTCGAGCCAAATGAGTTTGTCCGTGTTTTGTCTGTCCTCTCAATTGAATATGCCACCAGGATTCGTCCCACTGGACAAAACTCTCCAATTAGGGTCACTCATAATTCGTCCCATCTCAAAATATCCAACAGGGTAAATATACTCAATTTGTCGAACTATAGATTAAAATGGCGGCTATATAATATTCACTGAACTTAAATTTTGAGAAAGCTAATAAAAATAAATATAAAAGTGCCTATATATGTAAGAAAATCTCTCAAACTATCTACTTAGTATATAAGAGTTAAAAATTTAACAACCGAAAAATTTTAAAAAACCGTAAAATTTAATAAAACTAATTAAAAAGCCCATATATAGTTTACTTAATAAATTTGTGGCTCTAAAAACTTAGCGGCAACAAAAAAGTTCGAATCTCAAACGATAGGATCATCATAAAATGCCTCAAATTCCTCAAGACGCTACTTCCGAATTGTGGAGGCCTAACCGAGGGTTTTTATTCGGTGGGCCAGATCCAAGGTGGGCCGAATTCAAAGTGGCCGAATTGAGACTCAGCCATACATTAGATTTACTAGAAAATCTTATTTTATTACATCATTTTAGCTTGTTTTATTTCTCTATTGTATTAAATTTTTGGCACGCGGACATATAGTGACGAACATATTGGGATATTTCAATATACGAACAGTTACCCTACTGATTTCGGGTCCTACTGCCACTGGGTCTTGGATTAGTGTATTGTCCTGTTGAGGAATAGAGTTTTGATGTTTTATAACAAATGTAAACACGCAAGAAATTATTTTTGTCACTCCAATCCCGATATGTCCGCACACCATAATTTTATTGAAGATAATTTTTAATAATTTAATTTAGAAAAATAATAATAAAAAATGGTCCTTATTCACTTGAACATAAATGAATTGACAGATTTTGTTGATGTTGATCCAGACCATAGTCTCACCAACATAATTAAGGCGGTACTCATGGCCTCTGGAAATTCAAACAAAAAAGATAATTATGAAGGTAGGTATTACATTGGTACTTATATACTCCCCCAGTCTATTTCTTCGGTAAATATGTAAAAAATGTGCAGTCTTTCAATGTTGATAAACTCGTCGAGCTGAGTCGAGACTGATCATTTTTTAAATATTTACCGAAAAAATTGACTAGAGGGGGGGGGGGGGGAGGGAGTAAAATGTACCATTCAATTAGAGTGCGTAAAGTATCGAGAATTTTAAGAATTCACTAATTTAAAAATCCTAGATCAGGGTGACCTTTTCTTATAAGTAACATTTTAAAAATGAAAGAATTATTTTTAACAAGATTTATTTTTATCATTCCCACTTTTTAACAACTTTTTTCAACCTCCATTTTTCCTTCCAAAATTCTCAAAATTTTCGTTTACGGCGCTAAAAATGAAGAAATCTGCCGAAAAAATATTTACCGTATATGCTCGAATAATTACCCTGGGTAATTATTGTTTCGATCTCTCGCTGGAGGGGGTAATTAATTGAGATGATGTGCTAAATTCGGGGTATATCTCAATAAATCGAGGAGGAAATCCATTTATATTTTGATATTGATTCTTATAATGTTTCAATAATTAAAATTGACAATGATTTTTTCAATATATTTAAGATTTTTGTAAAATAATGAGGGGGTAATTATTAAAGAGGGTAATTATTCGAGCATTTACGGTATTTGGCTCTAGCTCCATTTCTTCTCTTAATATGTATTATCTTCCTTGCTTATTGTGAAGCAGCCTTTTCTATGGTCAAGGAAGTGAAAACAAGTGAAAGAACTAAATGAAGGCCAAATACTTAATTTCCTTGTATTTATTAAACTTAATTATGATTTTGATTCATTCAGGCATATGTTCTCTTTATTTGTTATACTAGTCTGCTTAATTTAGTTAAAAATTTAAAATATTCAGAAAGATGCCTTTTCCATTTATAAGAGATTTCCACTATTTTTGGCACTTTCTTATTAAAGCGTACTCTTTTTAGTTGTTCAAAAAGGGTCACCTTGATATAAAACGCGAGACACTTACTCGATCACTACGCACTCTATTTAAAATTTAAACATTATATATTTGTGGGGATGGGATTTTATGCATTAAAAAAATACAAAATATGCACGAAAATATTGAAGAAAAATTATTTTTACCTAAGCATCAAAAATGCTTTAAAATATGCATTAAACAGCACTATGCAAATTAAGCATTATATGCAAATAGAAACCCCATTTAAAGTTTCAAAACAAGCAAAAACTATGATTTTTGTGCATTGCACATCTTGACAAGTTTTTTAAAAATATCCATTTGCATAAAATCCCATTTTTGTATATTTGTATGGGTTGTGGACGTTTTGGCGTAACGGGGGGAGGGGGGCACTTAGGCGCAGCCGTTATGGCGCGGCCCGTTAAGTTGTGGGGGTCATCTGAGTAAAATAAATTTCCAAATGTGGAGACTTACCCTATATCGGGGGAAGTTATTCCAAACACGGGGAAGGTGTTTGAACACTGCAGAAGTAGTACCGAACATGAGTCAAGTTGTTCCGAACAATATTAAAATTCAATTTTTTAAATTTCCACTGTGGCGCCAAAACAACCCCGCGCCCTAACTGCCGCACCATAGTCGTTCCAGTTCCAAAATGTCCCAGTCCCTTGTATTGCTATCTTATATATAATTTGTTTTTTAAGTTCGAATTACAATGGATTTTGTAAAAAAGAACGAACAAGTCAAGAAAATAAATTGTGGAAATTATGATGAAAATAGTGAGTATGAAGGTAAAATTTCCATATAATCATAAATGATGGCTTAAGTTTTAAGTAACACTTTTAGAGGACCTCAAACCCCTTAAATAGATTTGGATGGATTAACAATCCTCCGATATCACGCCAAATCCAAAAGATGCTTTAATCCAGGGCTCCGATTCGTACTTTTTTAAAAGTATTGTACTTTTTTATCGACCTTCGTACTTCCGAAATTGAATTTGTACTTTTTTGAAAGTATGTACTTTTTTATCAACATTTTTGAAAAAACGAAGAAATCTGGCTTAAGGACCTCCAAAATTCTCAAAATTTTCGCCTGCGGCGCAAAAAATGGAAGAAATCTGGCTTAAGGACCTCCAAAATTCTTAAAATTTTCGCCTGCGGCGCTGAAAAAGAAGAAATCTGGCTTCTTAGGCTGGCTTCTTAGGCTACACACTCAAATAATATTTAATTCGGGCCCCAATAGTTCCTTAATATTTAATAGAGTACATTAATATACAATACATATTTAGCATTTATATTTATTCTAATTGGATTAAACATATTTAGAAGTTACTTATACAGGATGACCCAAAAAGTTACCGGGCACACTACACACTAACTTTATTCAATTTTAAGATAATGAGATCAAATAAAGATTAAATGATAGAGAATCAAACTTTCACTTTTGTCCCGTTCGGGAAATCATTTTTCTGTATCTTGAATGTTGCCTTCTTTTTACTCCACTTGTTGTACTTTGGCTTTTGACTTAACACTGACACTTTTTTCAAGCCAGGCAAACCTAAGATACACACTTCACTGTTCACTAAATGAAACTCCATATAGACTTCTTTTCTTTCACTTGTACCTTACATTTGAACTTTCCTTCAAACTTAATCTGTTACCATTATTCTACTGCCTTTACGGCTGATACTATTTATCATTCAAAAACTTACACTGCATCCTCCAATGACCAAACCGTCCACAATGACTACACTTATTCTGAAAGAACTGATGATTGACGTTTAGTTTGAACCACTTTTGTTTGCACTCAATTCCATCTTCATTTTCCCTTTTTTATAACACTTCACCTTTTCCACTGTGTTAACTGCCGGCACTTCATGTTTTACTTCACTAATTTTCTCTTTTACAAAATACATCGCTTTAATTTTGTTGGCCATAAAGGCTCTACACTCTTCAATAATTTCTTTCAACGTTAATGCATGCCCAGCTGTACTTTTACTTGCGACACTTTTCATGGCCACTTGTCTCACTGCCGTAGCATCATTTGGCAAACCTGAAATAAAAATCAGGATTTTCAATTCTTCAATTGACAAGGCCATTTCAGCTCGCTCACATTGAGCATTCACTAAATTCCCAAACTCGAATTTGTCTTGAAGGGCACTACACTTAACATTTAAGGCCTCGAACCTTTTTAACAACTTAGACCTATGATCACTAAACTCTTTCACTAATTCACTACACAGTTCGTCAAACTTCATCTCACTCACTTTGGTTGGCAGCATTTTTCTTTTAATTTTGGCATACTCTTCCGGTCCCAACTTACTTAATAACAATCTCACTTTCGAGGATTCTGGCAGGGTTTTACCCTCCTCCTCAAAATAGGACCGATGCCTGCCCAACCATGACTCAAAGGTCATGCCACTCGACGAAACAAAAACAAACTCACCGATCATTCCCAATAATTTGCTGTACAAAACTCAGTGTCGTTTAACTCACTCGGCTTCAATTTCCTCACTAACATTTTTCAAAGTGCTCCTGTTGAGCCTTTAGTAATTTCTCCACTGACTTTGCATCCATTGCTACACTTACTAACATAAAACTTTTCACTACACTTTAACACTAAACACTTCAATTCACTAACCTTTTAGGTTTTTCAACACTGCACTATATTCCACACTTTTACTTTGCTTCACTGCACACCGTTAACAACCGCTTACTAAATTTGACGAGACTGTTGACAACCGTTGACGTGCCCACGTACTTTTGTCGACCGCGCCAAAATATCTGTTACGACCCAGCTTACGAAGAGAAAGCTAACAGAACGTTTATCGCATAAAGAAAATAGGAAGAACTAAAACTGAGACTGAGCTAATTATTGGCTGGGCTTTTATACTAAACACTTTAAGGGCTGACGCCCATACACAACAGTGTGCTTATTGATCAAATTTCAAGGCATATAAGCCCTGAAGTGAATTGTTTAGGCTTTAAAATGACTAAAAATATTAAATAATATAAATGAGAAAGTTATTAAGTAATGAAGCGTGCCTGGTTAATTTTGGGTCAACCTGTCTAATTAAATAAATTTTCATTACAGATAATAAACTACAACCTAAAAAAGTTTATAAAAAAATGAATCTTCCTCCAGTAGAAGTTCAATTAGATATATTTAAATGTTTAAATTTTATACAATTATTATCTTTTCAACAAACAAATATTTATTTCAAAAATTTTGTCAACAAATATCAGAAACAATTTGCCAGAGACAAAATTGATAGACTCGATATAGTAATTTATAATAATTAGGGGTGCCAATTATATGGAAATCCATATTTTATTCTTGAAACCCTATGACTATGAAATGGACGAAAAACATGCTTTTGGCTTGTTTTAGTGTTTCTAGAATAGTTTTGAAAATACATATTTTCCATATTTTTCCATGTTGAGCCTTTATATCCATATTTTATATTGATATTTCTTTTATTTAATATTTAGGTCTATATTTGGTCAGTTTTTGGTATAATTAGTAAAAATCGGCGAAACTTTTCAAAGTTTTGAATTCGGAAAAATTTATTTTCAAAAAATTTTTTATCAAAAATTTTAAATCCATAAAATCTTTTAAAATCCTCTTAGAATGCAAAGTTAACTGCAAAATTATTTTTTTTCATGAAATACTGATTTTTAAAATATTTTTTCACCATATTTATGTCCATATTTCAGGATTTTATATCAATATAATTGGCACCCCCATTTATAATAGTTATATATTTATTCTAGTAATTTTTATTTTTAGTTCCCTCTTAATGATAATGAAATTTTAAATAAAAATGCCTGCTTCAAACTGGATCATAAGCTTTATGATTTTAAATTGTCTGAAAATCTTGAGAAAAAGGTTTTAGGAATTTCTTTAATAATTACTGGATTGTCTCTAATACAAGCCCTGGGCGTTTATTTTTCAATACCCCTCATTGAGTGGGCTTCTATTGGGGCATGGGCGTTTATTTTTCAATATCAAAATTTTATAGAAGATAAAAAATAAAAGCAAATAAATTTAAGTTTGGCAATATGAATTAAGAAAAGAAGTAAAAACTAAATTTCAAAATCCATTCTCCTCCGCAACATTCCTTATCCCTATTGACACCTTGATCTTCAACAATATCCCACACTAATCTTCCAATAGACTCTTCTTCTAGTACACTTAATCTCCTTCTTAAACGTCTAAATATCTTAATCCCTCATAATCCTTCCATATTCCTCAATGGAAGGATATGAAAGGATTATGGTTACCTCTATCGATCAGGGATCGATGTTGACCTATTTGGAACTGGACCATGGTATATGCAAGGAAGGCAGATCCTTTTAAAACATCGCTATCAATATGACTTGCTGTTCATAAGTTCATTTCTCATGGATATTTGCATCATTTTGTTTGTCGTACTCCCCTTAATATGCTACTCTATATTCCTAAATCGGCCACAAAATTATTTAATTCATCTAAATCTTCTATCGATCAGAATCCCCCAATAGACCTCTCCTTCGTCAATCCTTTGATATCAATCAATTTAGACTGAAACGATATCAATTTCAATCCAAATCCCTCGATATCATGCATAATTCTTTGACATCCAACGATATCCACTCTAAATCATACAATATCTACAATTCTAATCATTGTACCTTTCTTAAGCCTCTAAATCATATTTAATCCATCCTTATTCCGTACAATCCACTAAAATCATACATAATTCATCCAATTCACTTTTAATCACATCAAAATTCATTCTCAGTCATTGTCAGATGGGATGGGCTTCTAAAAATCAGATGGGCTTCTATTTGGGCATGGGCTTCTATTGGAGCATGGGCGTTTATTTTTAATACCTCTCCTTGAGTGGGCTTCTAATAGGGCATAAGCTTCTATTGGAGATGGGTTCTATTAGAGACAATCCGGTAAATTAAACAAATTTTAGTGGAAATGTGCTTTAGTTGAGTCACTGCCAATATGCTTAAGTTATTCCGACAAAAGCAATATGATTGTCCATACCATTCGATTTCGTCCCAAAAGACAAGGTAATCGTTAATACAAATAAATTAACCACTTGTTTAGCGGAGATAACCGGATATGTCAAACTTTTCTTTTAGTTTAACAGGGGATAATGGATATTGTAGTTAAACAGCTGGGCTATAGCTATTTCTTTCCATCAGCTAGTGCACAGGTTATTTGGCAGCTAAGCGAATCAGGATTTTCAGTAAACCGTGCTGATCTGTAATCCATTACACCAATGCCTGCTGCAAAGCTTTAGGAATTAAATAGCTAATGCTTTACATTATCAACTTTAAAAAAATTTAAAGGGGGATTCCTATTGTTAAATCGAAAATTATTGTTTTAATTATAAGTATAAATATTATTTAGACATTTATATACGTTTGCCAACTTTGCCAAAACATATTGTCGACCTAAAAATTAACCGCTATTTACTTAAACGACTTTTTAATTGCGGCTTTGAAATCGCATCATTTTATCATGGCATATTTAATCCACAAATGATAGACTTATTATTTCATGAGAATTCAACAAATTTACCTTTAAAAATACATTCAAAGACCATTGATTTGCACTACATCCCGAATATGCCGCTTGGATTCATTCATTTGTTTAGTTATATGCTTTGCAGTGAATTCAATATAAATTATTTTACTCGCGATACTACTGATCAAAATATGAATTTTTTATTTGAAATTTTGACAAACAGAGGGGATACATTTTCTAAAGTTTGTGTGATTCAATCGTCAATAAATTTTTACAATCGTATTATACAGGTATAGTAAAGCATCTTTTCTTCAAATAAATATCAAAACTATCTATTGAATCGGTCATCATACAAGATACAACTTAGGGCTAAAAATTTCACCATATAAACATGTCAGAACAAAACACCGTCCCTCCAGAATGCCTTGCAGATATTTTACTTGCATAGATTAACCAAATTCTAGATTAATTTTCATGCATGTATATTATCGACTAAATACTTAATTTAAAGCATATAGGTAGCTAGCTATATAATTCCTAAAGCCGTGGTGTAGGCGCCGTAGTATATTGGATAATAGAATTGTACCCCGACGGGGGAAGGGGGCACGGGGATAACATTTCGGGGAGGCAGCGCCATCCTCAAATTCCCCGACTTTCGGGGAATAGTTCAAAGACCCACTAATATGCAACAAATGTATTAACTAATTTATTCATTTAGAACATAGAAACATCAAAAGACATTTCTAAAATGGTGAAAGAAATTAGATTTGAGTATGTTCACGGACCGCTAGTTGTCAGAGAATACGAGCTTTCGAATAAGACAGACACCGACGCAAAGTTTTCTATTTGTATTAAAGAGGGATGGCGAGGCTTTGTTATAGAAATTAAAAGAATTGCTTGAAGACGTAATTTATAAATTTTATTATTTTAAAATAGGTGTTATCAATTTATCAATTTATATTAAAAATTTTAACATTTAATTGACAAAAATTAATTATTCAATGAATATCAAACGGAATGCAGGGAATTTCCCGCTTCCTTTTGTTATTTATTGATGTAGATTTTATTGTTTTTTTAATTCCAGATTTTTTAATATAAATTGATATTCAGTTTTAATTGAAATATATTTATTTTCAGCACCCCCCCCCCCCCTCTGACCAACTTAAAATAATTAATTACTCAATGAAATTTAAATGGAATGCAGGGAATTTCCCGCTTCCATTTAATTTCATTGTTTATTTAATCCCCAAAAATAATAGAATTTTGGATTTGTATTAATTAATTCTTATTAAAATATTTTATTTTTAAAGAATTTTTTAAATTACGTAATTTTAGATACACTGAAACGCAAAATTACTATACAATCACCTCATTTTTCGAAATTTTTTCGTTTGATTTGATCCGAAGTTTCTGAAAATTTAACAACACACCTTTTAGTTTATAATTAACAAGATTTTTATGGATTTTTGGAAGTATTTTTATTTTAAAAAT